ATATCGGATAAAAGGATTAAATTTTAAAATAACCCAAAAAATATAAATTATTATCCTTCAATTTACAATAGAAATTAATTATAAGAAATAACCTAAATATAAAGTTTCGATGATTTATTAAAAAATAATAAAATCCTAAAAATGATGTATCCAAAGGCAAGGATTAAATTTCATTATTTAAAAAAAATAACATAAATAATTTGACTCTTTAACCGTATATTCATATTTAGAATCTATTATTTATCGAATGACAATGAATTGATTGGATATATGAAAATTTTTTAAAAGAATTATTTGGAATCTTTAGTAAATAGGCAAAAAAATATGATAAATTTGGATAATAAGTTCTGCTTTTCTAGTGGATTTGAAGAATATTATATTTATCTGTCTAAGAATTGAAAATATTAAAAGTTAATCATTTCCTCCATTATTTCTTTAATATATTTGAAAAAATAGTATCTTTATATCTAAAGAGGGTTTATACTTTACCCCTTCTATTCATTACTATCGATGGTATTAGCTGAAATGTGCCATATTTATTTGATTAATTTTACAGAATGGATATAGATAAGAATGTAAAAAATAACTAGAATTATTTTAATGTTGAACAAATGATTTATTAAAAAAATATAAATTTAATAGATTTATAGTTTTCATTTTAACAAATATGTTCTATCATTTTAATTGTCTGATTTATCATTTTAATTGTCTGAATTATCAATGCGAGGCAAGGGCAGCGCATCTCCAACTTCGTAAGTGTATTATTTGACACTTAATTTTTTAGTTGTTAAATCTAAATAAATGTAACTTTCAAATGAAACTTAAAATAATTAATTGTTGTCTCCAATATAATTATTGATTACATTTTATTTAAAAAAATCTTAATTTTCTTTTAAGTCTTTTTGTTATACATCTTCCAATTACATTTAATCATTTTTATTATTTGGTTTATCTGTCAAAGTAATTAGTTTACCTTATTCAAATTTACTTTTAGCAATTTTTATCTACGCTGCATAATCCTCTAAATATTTTTTTTATTAATCCGACAACTATCTTTATTAATCCTACTACTAACTTTATTAATAAAATTATATTATTTTATCACAATGTTTGTTAATATCTTTTTCATCAGGATCACTATATAATAGATAAGCTAAAATAATTTCCGCTTCTGGAATTTAGTCTTTAAAACACTTAATATTATTAATATATTGAGTTTCTGCTTTTTTGTCATTTGATAGTGATTAACCATAATCTAAATGAAGCTTTTAAATTGTTTCAATCTTCATACTTTAAGTATAAATGATCCTCCATATAAATAACTATTGTTCATCTGAAAATATAAGTTAATAATTGAATTAACTATTTGTTATGTAATTTAAATCATATGATCTATTTCCATAATAATTTATTGGTATATTTGAGATTGAAAAGTCTAATGCTTTTCTAATTAAAATGGCATTCTAAGAAAATTGCTTATTTATTGGATGATTTTAGGATTTCTTCCTCAGTGTATCATTTCCTGGCAATATTAAATAGTATATATCGTTTTTGTTTTTAAAGTTTAAAATAGTTTGATTTGGATATGGTTTAAGTGACAATTCTTTAAATAAGTTACTCTTATCTAAAATACCAGTTAAAAAATCAGAAGACCTGATTTCCATATATTCAAGTAGATTCATTATCTAAGGAGACCTATTTCATATTAAAGTATTTATACTCTATATTTTCTCCTCCTAAAATTAAAACCTTTAAAACTTGATTATTTGAGTTTTCAATACAAACTGTTGGTGATGCTCTAGCTTTTATTTTTTATTCTAATTATTCCCTATTAGATTTTGAAATAGCAATTTTAAGATGAAAACTACCTTAGTTTAACTTTTCTATGTCGTTGAATTATAAAATTGCCTATTCTTCTGTTTTAATATTATATCTTAAACAACTCATTTCTATTTGGTAATTTATTTATCCATAGAGAACATAAATTTGAAAATTAAAATAAAATACTATTTAGTTCTAAATTTAATCAGATCCCAATAATGTACTTAGATTTTAGCTAAATTTATAAATTTAATAATTACAATTTAATTTCTTAAAATTTCTACATATTATTAAAATCATGTTCTCCAAGCTAATAAAAATATAAGAATTTAGGGTCACTATCCTGATATAATATAATAATGTCATCCTCATAATTGATTGTAATTTATGTATAAGGTGTTATTTAATGATTATTTTCCAAGAGAGGACAAATGATCAAATATCTTGAAGTGCCTTTTTTATAGAATATCCTCTACATTTTGTTAATTTTAACTTCTAATAAATGGTTTTTTATTTTCTGGACTTCTTCAAATTAGTTCTATAGTGAAATCATTGTGTATTAAAGTTATTCATTTAAATGAAATAACTCAAGTTATTTATAGTATTATTTCAGATCTTTGATTTAATAAGCTAATTCTAATTTCTCTTTAGGAATTAAATTTTAAATTATGATATTTTATTCTTGAAATGAAGAATAGCAAAGATTCATTAATTGAGTTAGTTTTTACTAGTAATCAAGTCTATTTTCTTCAATTTCTATGTCGATATGAATCATCAACTTGTTGTGACTCAACTTCATTAGATTTTAGATTAAAAACTAGATTCCAAAAGAATCGTAATCAATATCATCAGATAAAGATAAGCTTAATGCTATATAAGAATTTTATGAGAATTTTTCAATTCTATTATACATAAAATTATTGAAAAAAATCTTTAGTAATTAACCATGTAATAAATTCTTTTGATTATCGTTTGAAGGACTTTCGTATGGAAATAAATTAATATTACTATTTACAAATTTCATGTTGTTAAAATAATTCTTGTAACATTTAAACTAACTTTAGATTTCTTTTTTTTCTATTATTTTAATGAAGGAAAAGTAAATAAATTCATCATTTTTTTCTAATAACTATAACCAATCTTCTAAATTTGTAATACTTTCTTTCCCTGTAAGATTTATAAAAATCACTTTATTACCTCTTAAAGAGGGCTCTGATAAATTTTAAGCTATAATTATAATTAAAATTTACGCTTTTTTGATTGTTTTATTTGAAGAGCCACAGCTTAAGCAAAATAATTAATATAATCTGATATTGCTGCAATTTTGATTGCTTAAACCATCATGAGAACATTATTAACATAACCTTCTGCTTGTTTTTCTGCTGATTCATTAACATAATGAACTAAAGTAGGATTTTACTTCATGTAATCTTATGCAGTTTATTCTGAAAATTTTGAACATTTTTAAGTTAATATATGCTTTAAAAAGCTCTTTTCTCCAAGTTTTTCAGCCTCTGATTTTGGTATTATTATTCTTTAATAATTTTATAGCCATTAGATAACTTGATTTACAATATTTATTTTATTTTCCGATTGTTCTTATTTTAAAATAAAAATTACAATCATATGAAACTGATCTATATATAGTAAGCAGAGCATTCCTATCACTTAAATCTTTATAAACATATTATTAATTTGGGTTTTTTTTTTTTTTGTTTGATCTACTCTAATGTATAATTAAATCACATAAATACATATTCTTCTAATAAATCTTAGAAATTTGCATGAGCAAATACTTAGATTTGAGGATTAAAATTATACGAAAAACTTTAGCTATTATCATCCTCTTATTGCATGTTTATATATATTATTATTTTTTTAATAGAAAATGAGTCAAATAAAAGTAATTTGAGTATTAATCAAGATAGAATAATTGGAATAAATTTTAAATAGAATTTGTATATCTAATATCATTTAGTACCTAATGATTTGAACAAGAGGTTTAATTTTTAAATAATTATAGGGAAACATTAGTTTAAATTTTATAAAAAGAAAATAAGATTTCTGAGAATAAGATTAATCTAGTAGAAAGATCAAAGTATCTCTTAAAAAGATTTAAAAAATTAACTTTGAAATTTTAATAGGTTTAAGTTTAAACAATTATGGAACAGCCACAAGTTTAAATATTTATAAGTTAAAATTATTTTTGAATTGATTAATTATAATTTTCAAACTAAGTAAAATCTATTTATATTGTATTCTGGATATTCTTTAATGCCATTCAAAATCTAATATAAAATTTCAGCAGATCCAAAACAATAAGTCATTCCTTTAGAACCATGTCCAGCTGAAATAAATACATTATTAAAAACAGGCACTTGACTTATGATTGGAATGTCATCAGGTGTTATTGGTCTATAACAATGTCTGACAAAACAATCATCCATATTAATATTGAATCCAAAATGCTATAAATCTAATTAGATAATACTTAATTAAAATATTTCAATCCCATTTTTGCTCCCCATTCTTCACTTGGTAATTCTTTACTGAAATCTGATCCAATCTCAGCTCCACAGGATAATCTAATTTCATTATTAATGTAGGTTGAAAAATATTATGGTGTAAAAAATGTGTATTCTTTAAAAAATTTATCATTAGGTATTTTAATTCCTAATGCCCACCCTTTTACTGGCATAATTGGAACTCTAATTCCTAACTTATCGGTTAAATATTTAGTCTTATGAGCTCCTGCTATAACAAAATAATCAGCTAAAATAATGCCTTAGCTTGTCATTGCTCCTATTACATAACCTTTTGGATCTAATGCAAATCCTTTAACATTTGTATTTGTGGATATATAAAAATGGCCAGAAAAATTATCAATACAATAATCTATTATTCTTTCACATAATTATCTAGTATCCATATTACTTCCAATATCAAATCTAAGACAATGTTATAATTTCTCTCCTATTACTTTACCATAACCTGATTAAAATTTTTACTTTTCAGAATGCTTAATATTAAATTGATCTAAAGTTTTCATCATTGATTATTTGTTCGTTTCTGAATCATAGAAACCTAATAATTCCTTACAAGTGAATTAATCTTCTAAAATATTTGTAGTTTTTTATAATTTTTGAATTTCACTCATATTAATTCTTCCCATTTATAATTGATGTTCAACTAATGAACGAACTTTAGAACTAATATTCAATTGAAAGTTACTTAGTTGTAGTTTTTAATAAAGCATTAAGGCTCCAAATCATGAAATATTTTTCAAAGAAAGCATTTATATTAAATCTTAATGTAGTGTCTTCTGGATTCTTAAAAATATTCTTAATCAATGTCCACATATTTGTAGGATTAATCATGGTTTTAACTGATTCTGGTACATAGACACATCCATTATAATAACTAGATTACTAAGCAATATCTTAATCTTTATCAACTAAGATCACACTATATCCTTCAGATAATAATTTTAATGATTAGGCAATTCCAATGATACCAGCACCAATAACAAGGACCTTCTTTTTTTGATTAATGACTTCTTATCTATTAACACTATGACCAGCAATAATTGCATTATTTGCTGCTTATGCATAATTTCTGTTGTATAGATCATTTGTTTAGACTTGATTTAAGAGTAGATTATGGTTGATCATGGTTGCTGATAACATCTTTCTATAGATGAAGTAACCTACACCTAAACTACCTGCTATGACTGCTCTATATATAAATAATTGATTAACCATATATAATTATATTATTTTAGAAAATTAGTCAGAGAGATACTTTTAATTGTTTAATAAATATGGAACATAAAAACACTTTTATTTGATCCTCCTTTATCTAAATATATAATAAAAAATGATCATATACATATTTAATGAATATGATTTAAATAAGGTTATTTTATAATGATATTTTGGGTTTTATTACTAAATGCATAATGTGAACTTTTAGTCCTTCATTCTAGTCTATATGCTAAAACATCGAGTTGTGGATCTGCTGGTTGTAATCTAGATGGATGGAGTTAGTAAACATCACCTAATTATTACAACTGCTTAAATGAGGGGTTTGCAATGAATTACTTAGATTCAATCAATAAATAAATGTTTCGTAGTTTATCTTATAGCTATCCTAAAGTACAATTTGTTGTATGGTTTGATCTCTTTTTTATGGGAACATGGAACAATGAAGTTATTTAAGTCAAATTTAATAATGCTTTATTTGCAACAATCACTTTCACCAGTCCAACTACTTATCCGTATACATCTGAATTTTGTGATACGAAAGCATATTAAGTGTAATCTAAAAAAGTATTCATTACGGGATAATCTAGTGGCAATTTAGCAATAATAAATACATCTGCAAATGGAAAGGTTGTTATTAGAAATCTTATTTTTGCAGTTGAAAAATGTCATTGGAGTTGTAGAGCCTGTCTTATTGAAAATAGTTGTTCAACATGCTTTCCTGGAACATCATTAAATGGACAAGGATTATGCACTTAATGTCCTGATTATATAGATCCTATTGTAGGTTGTGTTCCAATATGTGATATAAACAAATATCCCAACTCAGATAAATATTGTGTAGATATAACAGAATAATAAATTTTAAATGATTAGTTTAGAAATGCTCCTCCTAATGTGTAATGGATTCGAAAATATGACTCTTCAGGATTAACTACATCATTAAAATGTTCTCAATTTTATGGTCTACTTACTGCTAGTGAAGGCATGGAAAAGAAAATACCCTACCCAACCTAATATCAACATAAATTAAGAATTAAAGTAGTAATGTATCTTTATAATAATATTCCCTTAAATTAAGGAATTGTATTTACCATTAATAATGATTACGTAGCCCAATTATATAATTTAAATAGTGTGATTACAATGCATAATGGATATATATTTAGAAAGACTTCTCAATCTTGCCCAGGAGTTGGTAATGGATAATTATACACTTTAATAATTGTTTGCCCTATGATAACAGGTGATTTTACGATGCGAATCTAAGGAAATATGTAGATTGCTACTGTTATTTGGGGAGTTACCTTAATATAAATTGTTGCTGGATATTGCTAATAATAATGTATAACTTGTTCATCAGATTATTAATGTACACTATGTTAACCTGGTTTTTATATTAATCAGGGCTTTTGCACTAATACTATGCCTTTAGACTTGATAAGTTCGAATTCTACTCATATTATCACTTATGATTAAGAATACCCTTATTCTACATATTTAGTATCTGAATTTAACAACTACAATATTAAATAAGATCCTGAAACTTATTTTACATTAATATCTCAAAATTATGGCAACTTTCTGACTGGGTTTCAAACATTTGGTTTATATACTAAAAAGATTTTCGGTGGACCATATGTTTGGACAAATGCTAAATTCAATAAAGTATACTCAATCGGAAATGCACACTATGCTATTTCAATAAGAATGAAGATAATTTTAGGAGATTAATTTAATTCATAGTTCTTAATAGAATTTGATACAAATGGTTAAGAAATCATTACACCTGGACCTTAATCAATCAATATTTTTGGCACAAGTCCGACTGAATATTCTATCGATAAATATTGGTATATTACACATTCCTCAAATTCTTTAACCATCACTATTGAATGTTTAGGAGATGGAGATTTATTACATAAATATTGTGGAATTTCGGATTATTACATAGTAGTACACTAATGTTTTCCTTTTTGCTTAGTTTGTACTGATTCAACTGAATTAGGATGCAGTTCATGGTAAGCTAGTTATTCTACAGCTAAATTTAGTTAATTGGATTGCTTATCTAATGAATATTATTAGAATTATAATTGTTTTACTTGTAATTCTTTATGTAATACTTGTTCATCTTACTTAATTTGTAATAGCTGTATAAATAATCTGATTATTATAAATGATTAATGTACATGTTCATAAGGAAATTATTTTGATACAGGAGATCAATAATGTCATTAGTGCAATTCATTGTGTTAACATTGTATAAAAAACAATTTTTGTATTGTCTGTCTAGAAATTAATAAAAGAGTATCTAAGAATGGAAATTGTGAGTGTTAAGATACCTTCTATCAATAAACAGGAACGGATATCTGTTAGAAATGTGATAATACCTGTTTATCTTGTAATGGACCTTTGCCAACTGATTGTACAAGTTGTAACACTTTAAAAAATTTTAATTTGTCCAGTGATAACAAATGCTTATGTGCAAGTGGTTATTACCTCAGTTTTGGAAATTGTTAAAGTAAAACAAGTGAATATGTTTTTTAGGTTGTCATACATCATGCAAGGAATGCTTTGGGCCAAATAAAGACAATTGTTTGGAATGTGATTCGACAAGAACTTTATGTAAATTAGAATGCTAATGCAATATTGGTTACTTTGACAGCGGAATATCAGTGTATTGTGATAGCTGTCCTCCAATTGAAAATTAATCTTTATAAGGGTGTTATATTGACTGTAATGGAACTATTCAATGGTTTAATGTAAGTTGCACATATACTCCTGTATGCTAAATTGGTGAATAAATAATAAATTACAAGTGTTAGTCAATTTGTGGGGATAATTTGATTATGAATGATGAATAATGCGAAGATTTAAATAATATAATGAATGATGGATGTTATAATTGTTAATATTAATGTCCTTTGAGTTGTCCAGGTTGCATAAGTGGTAGTTGTATAGATGTTTGTGGGGATGGTTATGTAACAGGAAGTGAATAATGTGATGATGCTATAACATCAATAGGTTGCAGTGGTTGTACATATTAATGTCAACCTCAATGTAGTGATTGTTAAGAGGGAAAATGTTATTAATGTTCTACAAGTGGATATATATTAGATGTGATAAATAATAAGTGTATAGAACATTGTGGTGATGGAGTGATCTTAGGTAGTGAAGAATGTGAAGATATTAATCCAAATCCTAATGATGGTTGTGATAATTGTAAATTTAAATGTAGATGGGATTGTTTAGATTGTTCTAGTAATGGAAAAGTTTGCAATCTTTGTTTATTTTCTGGTTATAAAACAGTAACTGGTACTGGAGCATATAAATGTGTTCCTATTTGTGGAGATGGATTAAAGATAACTAATTCACTTGATACTGAGTAATGTGATGATGGTAATAGTATTGCTAATGATGGATGTAGTAATACTTGCTAATGGTAATGTTAACTTACACCTATATGTACAACTTGTAATAATAATTTATGTTCTGCTTGTGGTGCTGGTTACTAATTGATAAGTACTAAAAATAAATGTGTTCCTATTTGTGGAGATGGTATAATTAAAACTACAGAAATATGTGATGATGGAAATAATTCATATTATGATGGTTGTCATTTATGTTAATTAATGTGTTAACCCTAATGTTTAACATGTACTTCAAATGGTTGTACTCAATGTGCTATTGGTTATTCTCTTAATCATTTCAATAATAGATGTATATCAGTATGTGCAAATGGCTATCTCAATGATGATGAAGAATGTGATGATTTACTCCATAAAAATTGTTATTAATGTAGATACATATGTTCTTATGGATGCATTAGTTGTATTTAGGGTATATGTTATAGATGTTAATCTAATTATGTCCTTAATTTATTTACATAATAATGTGAACTTATAAATCTTACATCAAAATCGTAGAATATAAAATAATCATTTGAAATACTATCAATCAATTCTTATTAAACAATTTCATATTGTCAAGTTTAAATTTAATCTTAATGTTTATTATGTCTATAGAATTTTTAATGGAATCCATTTACTTTATTATGTTAAATTGATACCTATTAATGCTAATCTAATTGTCTATATTGTAGTCCAAATACTTGTATTATTTGTAATATAAATTATACTCTAATTAATTCTATTTGTATTGAGAATCAATTATCTAGTCCTCCTATTCCTTTATGTTAATAGAGTTGTAATATTTGTTTATATGACACATGTCTATAATGTAAAAAAGGATATGAATCTCTTGTTAATATTTGTTAACCTATTTGTGGAGATTAAATAACAACTTTAGATGAACAATGTGATGATAATAATAATATTTATGATGATGGATGTTTTGATTGTCATTTCTATTGCTTTGGTGATTGTTTAAATTGTTAATTTGGTCGTTGTCTTGATTGTGAATCACCACAAAAATTAATTATCTCCAAAATGCAATGTTATGACCCTGAAAAATGTGATAAAGGCTATTATTAAAATGATTATGATAATCTTTGTTATAGCAAATGTGGAGATTATATCAAAACCATAGATGAAGAATGTGACTCTCCCATTTTATGTTAAGATTGTATATTAGTTTGTTCATCCAATTGTAAATATTGTATTGACAGAATCTGTTATACTTGTGATGATGATTATACACTTAATGAATTAAATCAATGTCAACCTAAATAATATCATTTTAATCAAATCTCCAACACCTTTGTTTAATAATTTAATAATACATTATGTTTCCAAGAATATTGCTACTATCAATCTCAACCTACCATGAAATTATCAACAATTAATCAAACCCATAATATACAATTTTTAAAACTATCTTTTGATTAAGATATCATATTCAAGTGCAAAAACATACAAGATGTTATTAAAATCTAATTAATTGATGATGATAATAGACTCATTAATTCATCTATTATTCCTTAATCTTAAAATCTCCTTATTCACATTACATATTTATCCACTCTTTATAATCCTACTATTTAACTTAAATTAAACGATCCAGAATGCATTAAGAACCTATTTAATCAAACTTTGCAACAGTCAAAAACTCAAATACGAACTGATTCCATTATTCTTCTCACTGAATCAGAATAACTTGCAACAGATGTTATTGAAAATATTGCTAATACTATGCAATACATTATTATCATAACTTTGCCGGCCTTATTAGTAGTAGGATAAATAAGTAACTTTTTAAATTTTGTTGATCTCTTATAATTTACCTAATATTAGCAATATCTCAATATTCCTCAAAGCTCCAATATGTAAGAATTTCTTTCAATATTTCAAAATACATCATTAAATAAAATGCTATCGTCTTTTTCATTTTATGATCTATTTTTTATTCCAACGTAATTTTAAAGAAATGGAAGCTTTATAAGTACATCAATACCAATTACACAAGTATATGTTTTTACAGTAATGAGCCATTTTGTTTTAAAATCTTTATCAAAATTCATGAGATAATCAACTTTAGATTTGAGGACATAAAATAAATTACTATTAAAATTTCATATCTTTGGGAATAAATTTATTCATAATTTAAATAAAAATAATTTGTCAATAAAATTATAAAATTTAACTATTTGTTGTGGATTAGAAATTTGTATGAATGCTTTTGTTTGTTCATCGTTGGGAATATAAAATGTAGAATAAATAGTAGAATTTTCTATTAGTAATATTAGTTCCTTTGCATATTTTTTTTATATCCTAAATACTGTGAAAATGCCTACTTTAATATCTTTAAGATCTAAAGATAGTAAGTTAAATCCAATATATAAATCTCCAGAGAAGTATAGGGTTGATGTATAGACCTATATATAAGGGTTTAAAAAATTATTGTATCCATTATGTTTAGTTTATTGTCACAAGAATCCAACAGTGGCTTCAGCTGGTTTGGCTATAATAGATTTTTCTTATGGCTTATATATTTATGAGAAGAAGCCTTTCAAGAATAAGTTAGAAAATGGTAAAGTAGTAATATAGCAAATAAATAACTCATTGATAAATTGTTGCAATATATTTCAAAGTATAAATATGTTGAAGAATCCAAAAATTTTGGGATTTGTTTAGATGGGATTGATTGCTGAATCATTGACATATTCTTGTATAAATGAGGTAACTTAAAAGAAAGATATAATAATAAAATTATTGAAAAAGCTTTTTAATCTTTCAGATGTAAAAGTTGAGAATCCAGGAATAATTGAATTTCTTGTATACGAATGATTTTATATATAAAAAGTATCATGAACCTGTAGCTTACTATTCAATTTATTTATCAGTAAGCATTTTGCCATTGACCCATTCAGCAGTAATTTCTTTAGTTTAATCCATTCTAAGAACTCCTTTTCCATGTTATTTGCCTTGTTTCCATTCTCCTTTATAATAGCGTCCATCTGACCATTCAAATATACCATACCCTTCCTTAAGATCATTCTTATAGCCTCCTTTGTATTTTCTACCATCTGGCCAATTGAATGACTATCAGATATATAAATTAAATTGATTTACTCCTTCTCCATCCATTCTATTTTCTTTCCACTCTCCTTCATATACTTTTCCACTCTTCCAATAATAAACTCCATGTCCATCCATTTTATTATTTTTAAAATCTCCGATATACATATTGCCATTTCCCCATTTAAATATCCCTCTTCCTTATTTTTTACCATTTAAATATTCGCCTTCGTAAGATGATCCATCCTACCAGGTTTCTTTTCCTTATCCTTATTACTTGTCATTAACCCAGTTCCCTTCATAGGTTGCTTAATTTCTATATCTATGGTACTTTCCATAACCATTAGCTTAATCATGTTTCCAACTTCCTTCATAATAATCTCCAAATGAATGAATTAATCTTCCAAAACCAGATGCTTCATTATTAACAAATCCACCTTCATAATAACTTCCATCAGGCCATAACAATTTTCCATATCCATGTTTTTGACTATCTTTCCATTCTCCATGATAAATAAAATTATTCTCAAATTTGATAGGTGGATTCTCTTCACCTCTTTCCATTTCTACTGGTATAACAATTTAAGGTAATTAACTTAAGACTGTTCGAACTATTTAATTATCAATCTCTGGAAATTCTTCTAATCTTTCACCTAATTTGGGTGCCTCTATACTTTCCATTCTTCTTATGGCAGATGGTTATTCAAATAGTTTATGTTCTTTAACTGGATGACTTTCTTGAATCATTTATATTTATATATTTACAAACACCAATCTTTACAAAATCATCTGCTTCCCATTCACGAACATCACATTCTTCATTCACTAACATATTCTTCTAATAAGGAATTAATGCTTCCTTATTTTATATTGGAGGATGTGAACAACAAGTACTTCCATTACCCATTTAATTATTATAATTTACTTAAATCTAGTCTTTTAACAATTAGATCATAATTAAAAATGGGATAAGAATGTTAAAAAAGTTAATTAAATTAAGCAGTAAGTGATGGCCTCAATATAAATGATTAATCTGAATCAGATTCAGAATATGATGAAGTTGATGAAAAACAGCCATGTAATAAAGGCCCATATTTTTAGAGAAACCTCCTTCACTTGATAGTAAATCTAATTCCTCCACTTTTTATAAAGAACAATATAATTCTTTATATTCATAATAAGGGAAGGATGAAATTGATAATTTTTAATTGAATCTTTAGGATGGTTCAACATATATAGGAGCTATCCTTAATGGTAGAGCTAATGGAAATGGTAAATTAATCACTTTTAATGGGGATATTTATGAAGGCAATTTCGTTGACAATCTTTTGGAAGGTCATGGATAATGTACATTTAAAAGAGGACCTGTATATACTGGATAATTTAAAGCTGGTAAACCTGACGGAATTGGAAAAGAACTCTGGCCAGATGGATCAAAGTATGAAGGAGAATTCAAAAATGGTAAAAAGAATGGTCATGGTTGTTATATATGGATTTAATAAAATATATATGAAGGACAATGGGTAGATAATATGATTTAAGGAGTTGGAAAATATGAATGGTTTGATGGTAGAGTAATTTTTATAATTTTATTAGTTCTTAGTCTTATATTGGATAATGGGCTAAGAATTAAATGCATGGAAGAGGTTTATATAAATGGAGGGATGGTAAATATTACAATGGATATTATAATTATGATAAAAAATCTGGCTTCGGTATATTTTATTGGCCAGATGGTAGATAATTCTAAGGTTTTTGGTAAGATGGTAGATAAAACGGAAAAGGACTCATGATTAATTAGGATGGCTAAAAGAAATATGGAGAGTGGCAAGATGGAAAATTAATAAATAGCATAGAAGATTCTAATTGTTAACTCATTCCTGATGGATGGTTTATAAACTCTTTTAATTATTAATGAATTAATTTTCTTACTTTAATATTATTGTATAATTAAATAACATTTTGTATAATTCTAAATAAATTCAAAGACTTATTGTCCTACGTTTACATAAAACTTCTAGACTCACTTCTAAGATATTGTCTATTTCAATAAAATCAATATTTTAATTGTATTTGTTTATATTGAGATAAAAAATATCAATGAATAACGACTAACTAAGTTGGATTATAAAAACATCAAAATAGTCAGAAAGGAAATTAAAAATAACTTTGAATAGTAATATTTGATAGAAAGAAGCAAAGTTTTATTATGAAATGATGAGTCTAATTATGAGATAGTGAAGAAAAGTTAATTATACATAATTTGAAAATTAGTTAATTCATAACTCAGATTGAAATTAAACAATGAATAAGAATCAATGATTTCTATATTTAAGTTTGTGAACAAGCAAGGTTTTCACATTAATTAAAGTTTTTTCTAATCCATCAATTACAGATTTCATCTTTTGGCAATGTTCTAATTGTTTTTGTATCTCAGCCTGGGATTGTGAATCATTGATTATCTAAGAGAACATTCTTTTGTATAGAGAAGTGATTGAGTTATTTTTGAGTTTTCGATTTTTCCTAATTTACCTCTTTTTTATCGGAATCTAGGGAGTATTAAGAAGTTGATTCTAATCTGGTATATCTTTAGGTTCTTCAAATTTAAAAGCATCAATAAAGTAATCTTCTTTGTCTAATTCAACTTCATTTTTATTTTTATTTGATGGACGACCAAACATGATTGGTGAACATGAAAATTCAAAGTCATCATTTTCATAATATGATTAATGACCCCAATCTTCTTCAGTTGATATAAACTGTTCAAGATTCATTATTAATTATTTATTAAACTATTAAAGTGAGACACTAGATATTGTTTAAACATGCATGATGCGTAATGTTTTAAAGAACAATTTAAAAATTATATTTTAAGTAAAAGAAAATGATTTAAATATTGTTTCAATTAATTCTAAAACAAGATGATGCTATTTTTGTTTATTAATTAAATGTTAAATAAAAATGTGTCAAATCAAATCCCAATTGAATTTAATTCAGACTAAGATGAATTTCATTAATGTAATCCAAGCAAAAGTGATTCAACAGCAACTCCAGGCTTAAATGATAATTCTAATTCATCTAAAATTATTTGTTCTTAACTTTTTGAGCATAATCTAAATCAAGATGGTAAAAGACTTTATATTACATAAGATGATGAGTTCGATTCCTTGAATAAATAATTATCAGATGTTTTACTCACTGACAGTTATAGACCATCATTAATTCAAGCTTTTTCTGCTGATATGTATACGTTACCAATTTTAAATTACCTAGGTCCTCATATTTGAGTCATGAGAAGCTTACTAAAAACTCTAGAAAAATGTAATAAGAGTATGAGTAGGCCAACAATAAAGAGAGAGGATACGTATTTAACACTTATATTAAAAATAACATAATTATTCTTAGTTTGGATAAATACATGCATTACATACTGGAAAAAATTATAGAAATTGGTATTTATTATAAAAAATAATTAGGGCCGTCTAATTTTAAAAACATTATCTTAGATTAGATTTTTAATTCCATAAAAAAATTAATCACTGATCTTCATGCTTGTAAGGTGATGTAGAAGGGATTAGAGATAATGTCCGAATATCCTTAAGAATCTGTACCTCAATATTAAAAATATATTAATTTTATTTTAGAAGAGACTAATTTTACAAGAAAACTATACACTGATAAAATTGGAAATTAAATATTTTCTAAATCTTTAGAAGTATTTGAAGAACGGAATTTGGAATCTCTTTTGTAGATCTTTAATAAATATGTAAATATATTCAATTAAATATTAGATTTTAAATCATAATTAATATTCTTTAGAATTATCAACTGATCAATATGGCTGTCTGATTGTTAATAAAATTATTGATATCTTTCCAAAACTTCTTGATTAAAAAACAAAATCCATAGCAAATGAAATTATAATGAGAACAATACATAATTCATCTTGTTTGATAAGAAGACAATATGCTAATTATATAATTCAGTAATTGTTGGAAAAAGGGTCAGAGAATCACAAAAGAGTTCTTTTAGATAATTATCTAATAAAAGATTTTATTTCGATGTCTCTAGATAAATATGGAAGTAATGTAGCTGAAAAAGCTATAGTTTATGCAGGTTCTTAATGGAGATAGAAACTTTGGGAAGAAGAAGTATCGATATCAGAAAGGTAATTAAAATTAATGAATAAATTAATAGTTCATTTAGAAAATTAGTAAATGATTAGTTTGCAAATTATCCTATCTAAAGACTTTATGAATATTTGACTATTGAGTATAGAAATGAATTTATTGCATTATTGAACAGATTGCATGATAGTCATTTTCTCAATCATCATGGTTAAATTGTTTTAAAATTTTCACTATCTAATTATAACGCTAAACGATTTACCCAAAAGATTAATGCAAATGAAAATAGCAAACCTACGAAATAGTAAGAAAAAAATAAATAGCTTCAATAAGTATATGAAAAACAATAGAAAATTTAGTAAAATTAAATGCAATACCAACAGTATTTACAATAATAATAGATGATGGCATTGTAACATTAATGGTTGCAACAATAATAATAGCAACAAAGTTAATATTTATCTCCTATAGAAATACAATAATATTAAGCAATGCTTTTACAATAAACGATGTTAATGTATTAATAGCAATAATAGAATCTTTAATTTTAGTAGTCCTCTATGAATTAGTAGTAGTTTCCTTTCTCCTAATAATTTTAACTTCAAGATTAGCTAAATTAACAAGCACTTAAATACTACTAATAAATTTAGAACTTTCAGAAAGCAAATTAAAATAAATAGGAATGATTATCGATTGAATAAATGAAAAATATAATTATGTTATTCAAACACAATATATTTAAATATTATATATGATTTGGTTTATTTTATAAAAATGAAGTATCAAATTATTTTGTAGTTTTTAAAAAGTAGATTGTTTGAAAAGTCTGTGATCTTTAATAAATATATAAAATTAAAAATTAAATACTAATGCTTCATAGATAGTATATAGAGCAGATTCATAATCAAAGTTTTTAGTTTTTGGGAGTGAAGGAATAACATTTCTTAGGAGACAAAATGGTATTGAGTGAGAATTCAGATGAAGAGATTAAACAATAGAAAAAGGAATTCAAAGTATTGTAGAAGACGAAAAAAAAATTGAATTGGAGAAAGAGCATGGGATTGATTTTAGTATAGAAAAGATCAAGTGGAATGTCATATGTGTAATTTAATTGGGTTAAATTTTAATTGCGTATAAGAGGAATATTAAAAAAGATTATAAAAGGATGTACTATAGAGAAACCATATATTTTAAGTCCAGATGGATCTTTGAAGATGATGTGGGATTTATTATGTCTTGGATTAGTGATGTATGAAATGATAAGTATTCCATTATAAATAAGTTTTGATATTGATGTTAGTGTAGAATTTTCAAGAGTTTCTACAGGAATATTTGCATTTGATATTTTATTGAATTTTAATACAGGAATATTTGAAGATGGTTTATTAAAGTTGAATAGAAATGCTATAGTTAAAGATTATTTTAAATTTTGGTTTTGGGTTGATTTTACAACAACATTTCCATATGATATAATATTGGATGAATCATCTAATTTTATATAGAGTGCAAAATTGTTGAGATTGTTGAAGTTTTTGAGATTTATAAAAATATTGAAGTTATTAAGATTGGCTAAATTGAAAAAGATAATTGATAAATTCAATGAGATTTTATAATTGAATTCAATTTTGGCAGCAATTTTAACATTTTCTAAATTATTTTTATTTGTGTTATTTTTTGCACATGTTTTAGGATGCATATTTCATTTTACTGCATAATAAGAAGATAAGAATAATTCATGGTTAGGTGATTTATATGATGCAAATTGGTATATAAGATATATAAATTCATTATATTGGGGAGTTACAACAATGACAACTGTTGGTTATGGAGATATAAGTCCATTAAATCCAGATGAAAGAATGTTGGGTATTTTTTTATTATTAATTGCTTGTGGTGGTTTTGCATTTACAATGAATTCAATAGGATTTGCATTATAAAAAATAAGTGAGAAATAAAGTCAAAATAAAGAAAAGCTTAGTTAAGTAAATAAATATATGAAAAAAGCCAAGATACCTGAGACTCTTTAGAATAAAATAAGAAAATATTTGGAATATGTTTGGGAAAGGAATGGAGGAGTTGTCTTATAATAGATAACGAAAACATTATCAGTAGATTTATCAAAAGAGTTGTAAGTATAAGTAAATGGTAAATTATTTGGTTATTTGGATATATTTTGGTCAAACCATTCTTATGAATTTTTAGTAATACATATAATGCCAATAATGAGAGAAAAAGTATTTTGTCCATAAGAAATAATATTTGATGAAAATGAATAAGGTTGTTATGATATATTTATGATTTAATCTGGAGAAGTAGATATTTATTTTCAGAAAACTAATATAACTGTAGATAAGAAAGGTAAGAATGAATTTTTTGGAGAAATTAGTTTTTATTCAGGTTAGAAGAGAAGTGCAAGTTGTAAGAGTGTAGATTTTTCAAATATATTCATTATTAATTCAAATGATTTTTTAAATTTAGCAAGATCTAATAGTAATGAAGTTTAAGCATATTTTAAAATAAGACATAAAATAGTTTTTGATAAAGATTATAGTGCCATAAGTATTCGATGTTATATGTGTTAGATGGATGACCATATTGCAAGAGATTGTCCATCTTTGCACTTCTAAGTGTAAATTAATTGATTGATATTAGATAGGCATCGCATTATTTAGCCTTCTTATAATAAGTAAAACATGTTTAATAATCTTCCTTTATTAGAAAAGATCGAATAGATTTCAATGCAAGATATCATCTTGACCTTATTTCTTAAACTTAAGGTAAATTCATTCATACTGAAAAGAAGATCCAATTCTATTAAAAACATAAATCTCATATGATTCTAAGTTTTGAATAATCAGAAGTCTAAAGTATTTAAACTGAAGAAGATGATTATAATGCAATTAATTAAATTAATAAATTAGACAATTTTGATCGTAGATTTAAATAATCAGTAAAATATAAACATCCTAAATTTGATAATAATACTCCATAAACTTCATCTTTTTATAGAAAACCTAGAAAACCAAAAAGAATTACAACTGTAATTAAACGTGATCCAATGGGTAAATTAACTATTTCATGTGCCTCTGAAGATGATCAATTTGATAAAGTTGCTTTAGATAGAATTAATCAATATTTAGAAGATTTTCATAAAAAAATATCATTGTCACGTAAAAAAGAATGGAAAGAATTCTCATCTATCCCTAATTTTGAAAAATATCATGAATATAATAACTATTATCCAGAAAGCAATATTTCTAAAATTATACCACAATATTAAAAATAGAAAGCCAAAATATTAACCGATGTCTCCTTAAATTCTTAAACTTTTGGAGAAGAAGAACTAATTGCTTATGCTTAATATTATTCTTATGATTTAGATACTGAATAGATCTCTAATTTCTTTAGTAAAACCTAAAATACCAATCAATTAACTTACGAAGAACATCGAATAGCAAGATTAGACAGAAGAACTAAAAAAATGCTAAAATATATTCGTAAACCTAATAAAGTATTTTATATTTTTCTAAATTAAGATTAAAACAACCATTTTAGTACTTAAAGCTATTAAAAGATTTTCTCAAAGCTTAAAAAATATTCCTGTTCTTTGATTATTAATTCTCTATATGTATTATTTTTATATACAAAAATAATTAAATATTTAGATTAGTAATATTTTAAATGTAAGAAGAAACCTTTTAATTATAATAAAAACAGGTGATAGAATATAGCCTTAGAAAAATTCTCAAACCTCTTTAACGCAAAAGTCAACACAAAGCTTAAGATCCAGACGATTTTTATTCAACTTTGGAAAACAGCTCAGAAGTTAATACAATTTAAAATTTCTCTAAAAGAGGAACCATATTCTCTATAGAAGAGGAATACTATCCAAGAATAATTTAAAATCCTTTGTTAAATGAATTACCAAATTTTTCTAAAATTTAATATCAATTCAACCACACAATTCAATAATAACCGGAAGTAACATATGTTCATCCTGAATTATTCTAAAATGAAGTCTCAAACTAAAATTGTTCTGAACTTCAATAATAGAATCTCAAAAACGATTTTATTGATCCTATAGAAGATCTTCTTGGATCAGATTATAAATTAATAGAAGTTGATGATATAAATTATTTATAAACTTTTCAAAACAATATTCTGAAAAATCAAACAAAGGCATTAAGAGATAAAAAATAAACACCAAAAATTATACACTCAGAACTTACAAAATCAATTCATAAAATATCAATAAAAAAATGACTTTTATTATCAATTTTAAATTATTTCATTTTTTTATTTCTTTATCAATTCATCAAAAAATTCTTAACATTCTTTTATACCAGCTTATACTAAATCTATATTATAATTTCTTAGATTTCTACTCCTCTCTAAATCATTATGATCTATTTAATCAATAAAACTCTTTAAACTTGGTTAAGTTTCTAAAAATCCATTTAATAATCCATATGCATGTGCATAATCATATTTTATATATTCTTAAATCTCTTTATTTTATTATGAATCGTCTTGTAATTTTATTTTTTTTAATGTTTTCTTTTTATCAGTTGTTTAAATTCTCTCGATTGTTCTTTTTTAAAATTCATCTGCAGCTGATAAACAAACTATCCAATATGATTCATTTTCTTTCTTTTGATCAACTTTAAATATTCCATTTGAAGTCAGACTACCTTTTACTGTCTTATACAAGTTCCCTTTATATTTGCTACCATCTAATCTTTTTAATTTGCATAAATTTGAACGGACTTATTCAACAATATATCTTTCACTTAAAGGAGCATTTTGATGAGCTTCAAATAATTTCAAGACAAAACCAGTAAGAGTTTATTAGAATAATTACTTTTTTTCATTTTCATTAGAATCAATTTCAAAATTAGCTTAAGGCCATATTTCATGTTCTGATTCATCAGTTCTTTAAAATTATTATTATGCTGATTATTGTGATTAATTAATAGTTTATGCTTGTTTCCCTTTGATTAGAGATTATAAATTACTTTTATATTATTTTTTAACTTTCATTTATTTTAAAGGTTAATGATCATATCTGATTGGAGTCTAGGGCTAAGGTTAATATTACAAATATTAGATATTGGTATCAAAGTTTTCTTAATAAGTTTGAGGTAGAATCATATAAACATTAATTGGTAATTAATGATATTAAGGAATCTAAAATAGAGTTAATTGAAAATACTCCATATGAATTGTAACCACAAATAGAATTATAGTCTTGTTCTTAATTTTCATCTAAATGATAATGATCCTATTAAATAAATTTGAAACATACCGGTATATCATTATTCTGTTTTTTTAATGATGATTTTTAATACATTTATTAATTAAACAACGTGTACCTCATTGTTATTAATAATATAAATAAATGTCTGAGAAAAAAGATTTAATTAAGGAGGCAATAAAGAGAAGATAAGGTGGTGGCAAAAGTCGTAAAATAATTAAGTAACCATAATATAGCCTAAAAAACATCTGAAACAGGTAATTAATCAGGATTAAATTTTTATTCTGGTGATGTTTCGTCTTTAAAAGTTTAACCTAATACAGTATTAATAATAAGTCTTGTATATTTGGGAATAGTTGTACTTCTACATATTTTCAGCAAATTAAGATCAGGAGGATCAGAAAGTGTAGTGAAGGGCAATGATATATATTTATTATAGTAAATTTATCTACATAGAAGTCTAATTTGTTATAATTTGGAAATATATAAAATATATTTGCTTTTTCTTGATTTGTTGTATAAATAAATCAAATAAGCTTTTCCCAAATCAAGGCTGCTCCTTCTCCTGATGCAGTTATAGAAACTGAAGCTTCTTCTGAAATAACAGCTAATTAAATTTATCCTAGAATATTGTAATTATTATTAATTACCATTTCCTTCAATTCTCAAAATATCTAATAATTCACCAACAAATGGTATTCCAGCCATAAGTTCATTAACATTTGCTCCTTTTGCTTAATCTATAGCTGCTGATAAATTAACTTCATTTAATTCAGGCAATTGCATTTCCTAAATAAATTATGCATATGACTAGAAATTGAATTGTAATCTAGCATTATTTAATAAAGTTAATGGAGTTAGCTATTCAAGCAATTTAATTTTGTATGAATCAAAGTATTTTACAATAGCTGCATAATGTCCTTATCTGGCTACTTCAATCTATTATATTATAAATAATATAAAATTACAAGATCACTTGAAGCTTATGCATCAAAACTGGCACAGAATCCTTTAGCTATCCAATTAATCATATTTTCATTTGGTGTAGCTCCAATATCTGTTAATCCTGCCATGAATTCTAATTAGTTATTTATAAATTCTTACATAACTTCAAATTTGCATATATTGAACTGTTCTCTTAGATAAACATTCCTGATATTAATCTATATGCAACCAATACATTTTCAGTGATTTCATTATTTATATAGAATCTAACCAATAATTCTTCTGGTAAAGCTTTATATTCAATTTTTAAATCATTTTTGAATATTGCTATTTTTTAAGAAATATCTTCTGGAATCATATTTAATGCTAAATCAATTATTCCCTCAAAAAATGTTTCAAATTTTTCTTAGACGGCATCAGAATTTTAGCATTTAAATCCAAAAACTATTGAAACAACCTTTATTAAAATATATATTATTATTTACCTGATCTCCGGCAAATGGGAAATTTTTTAAAAGGGATTATGAAAAATTCTTATTCTCCTCACCAACTCTCACTGTTAATTCTAAAGCTGATTTTATTTAAGATTTCTCTCCAACATTCAATTATATTGAGCATTGAGATTTCCCTTCTTCATTATTCTTTTCAAAGATATGTCCTATTAAATTTCTTTAAGATATCATACCATATTATTAATTAAGTTTTTTATGAAGATTCTTAACATTTTTAATATGTTTAAATTTCTTCTATATTAGTTTATCCATTTGTTTTTGTTCTCCATATAAGAAGTATTCATAAAACTCATCAAATGAAATCTTGCCATCTCCATTTGTGTCAAGAGCTTAGATAATCTAAAATATCAATGAATTATAACTTTATTCAACTTCAAATCGCTCCAATTTAATCCTACATTGACTGCTAATTCCTTAATTTCTTCCTTATCTATAGATCCACTTCCATCCTTATCAAAAATATTGAAATATTCTTAGATCTATTCCTTAGACTTATCCATAAATTATTAATTAATATCTTTTGTTTTTCATTCATTATACTTATATACATAACAAACCACATTTTATAATAACAATTAATAAAAATACATTTTATATATTATATAAATATGTTTATACAATGACAATCTTTATTATTATTTAAATATTTATATTTCTAATAATAATACTAATACTAATTATCAATTTCAATAATGTTAATAAGAGAAATACTAACTTTAACTTGAAAAAACAAAAGATTATTTAAATTTTGTGATATAAAACATTATAATCACTTTATCCACAATTTTATCATAAATTTGCTTGCTGTTGCACATAATCCTTCTTTCAAATACTTAAATCGAAATGAAGGATATGTATAATATATATTTTCTACAATTTTTAATTAGATACCTCTACCAATGTCCCAAAATTATATTGAATTAATACTTGAAACTGCTAAGATTGATTAACAGATAAATTCAATTTACCATTTCCAATTTTGAGGAAAGTTTATTTTTCTAATTAATTTATTTTTAGTTAATATTCTAACATACTCATCCATACCAGAACAAGCATAGTATTAACATGTATGTTATGGAAATCCAGTAAAATATAATTAATTTTCAGAGATTTTCTATTATGAAATCAATTTCAACCTTTTAGTATCTAAAATAAAAACTCTTGCATCATTTCCTGTCATTACAATCCAATCATTCTTAACTGAAACTCCAACACTAAATATCGAATTATCTTCATTCATATTAAAACTTTACAATAATTATCTTTATTTAACATTCCATATTTTCACTGATGAGTCGGAACTTCCAGAACATAAAATATCGAAAAGAGGTTTATTGAAGAATTCAATTCTCCATATTCTTTATTAATGTTCATCTAAAATTATAGGAAACTCATCTAATTCTTTCATTTTCCAAATTATTATTTTTGTACTAGATCCACAAGCTGCTAACCAAATAGAATCATTTGAAAATTCTAGTTATCCTAAATCTTCATTCATCTATGTTCCTATTACTTTTGTCTAACTTTAGCAAGATATCCTCCATAAAACAATATTATCAATATATAGTCCACCAACTGCCAACCATTATAAATCTGGTGAAATATCCATTGCAACATATTCATAAACATCATTTGAATTCAATTATTTTGGTTCATTATTCAAGAGCTCCAAAGAATTTTATTATTCTGAATATTTCTCAATTAAATCCATTCAATATCTCCCTATGAATTACAACAATTAAATTTTATTATAATTATTACTTTCAATCTCTCTCAATAAATCAAAAAATTACAATCTATATTATATATAATTAGATATTTATCAAGAAAACTTAATAGAATGACTGATATATAAATAATATAATATTATATATAATCAAACTTTACCCTTTTATTTACTCTCTAATAAATTTATAAATAAATTCTTATTAAGATATCTTTTTATACTATTACCATTCTATCTCTTGTATCATATACTTTTTATAATTTATTAATTCAAATAATTTAAATGATTATTCTATTTTTTAATATTTATTATTTTTTTGTTTGTAAATGTTATATCATTTAATGCTTCATCATTTCTTGCTGTACCATTCCGGGATATATATAAAACAACTATTCAGTATTATAACTATTGACCAAATACCAAAAATCTGTATTTCTTTAATAAAATCAATAGAGTTCCAATATTTTTTCTTAATTTTTCATTGTTTTCAATTTTTACGTTTCATAATTAATAAATATAAGATGGTTTTAGATCTTTTTGTAATTTAATAATAATAATTATTTTGTATTTTAATATTCATGGTGTGCAGAAAGAATTTATTTAAATTAAATGCCAAATTCTTTTTCAGTCAAAATTTAAGCTATCTTAATTTTTACAAATAATTCTCGACCTTCTACTACAAATAATGTTTAGCCCTCTCTGTATTCACTAATAAGATTATATGAATTATCATCTTAGTAAATTTCCTGTAGTTATATAAGATTGAATAATTATACAATATCTATAAAGAATCTATACTAGTATTTTCAATTAGTTATGAAATGATAATATCGATTAAAATGTATGTTTCTTGTAATAGTTTTTTGTTAGTCTTCTTTCTTCATTCGTTATTTTAGTATCTAATTTATGACTTATACTCAGTCTATATCACTTTATAAGCCTAGTCAATTTATCCTATTAATTCTTTATATGCATAGTATTCAACAAAATTTTAATGAGAATTAATTTTCACAAACATACTTTTTTTAATGCTTCATTTGATATCAAAAAGGTTTTAATTAATTTGTTTTGAATCTTGTTATTATTTTTCACTTTTTCTATCCTTTTGATAACTTGATTTTAAAAGACTTCCTGATTCAACTTATACAATTTATTCAAAAGTCTTAGTTTTCTTTTCTAAACTGATAATGTTAGCTAAATGTAAACCAGTTAACTCTTTTGCCATTTTATTTAATGAATTAATGTCTAAAAAGTATTAAAACATAGATAATATTAGGATTACTTAACCCATAATTATATATATAATTTTATATATGTCATTTCTTATTTTGTTATTTTAGCAACAATTATTTCCACTTGTTAACCCATTCTTCTGGATATATTTTAGCATCAGGTTTTTAACCAGTAGGAATATTTTTCAATCTTTCTTCAAATTGCTTATGTTCATCTTATTTCTTCTTTTTACGTGATCCTTCTTGATGTTTGCTTGAATTTCCATCTGCATTTTGTTCTAATTCATTCTAAATTATAGTACAGTTACTTCGTCATTATTTGACCATGAGGTTTATTATTGTTAAGATGATTATTGCATTTTGTATTTTTAATATTGGAATTATGGTATTACATTAAATTAATTTAATTGATAATATAAGTATTAGAATTTCAAATATAATGATAATCTTAGATCATTGAAATAAATTGATTATATTATATTCTTATATGTAGATATAATAAAAAATATAAAAGAAAATTCATTTAACTTTTTTTGATTTAAGTCCACTATCAAATTTCTTTAATGTTTATCTAACATCAACTTGATTATTAAATTAACTTTCTAATGCTTTAGTGATGTTATTTGAATCTTAAGTTTAAGATTTAGTACGTTATGATCGAATAATTTTTTATTAAGTAGCAGTCGAATTATATCGACTGGTAGGATTAGATTCATAAACTCTAGCAGTTGATTATTATGAAATTTTAGATGCAGAAGCATATCTAGTATTATGAATTTCAACACTATTTCTACATCTAGAAGTTTTATTTAATTGATTTAATTTTAGAAACTAAACTTTAGTTGTTTGTTTTTCTTTTTATTATTTGATAATTTTTTATAGAAATTATTTATCTTTATGATAAATGATTGGGATGTATTGAAATGGTTAAGTTTAAGTTTCTTTATCAATAGAATGTGGTTAACTTTTCTTTTTTAATTTAATTTTTTTAGTTTCCAATCTGCGATTACAGAATTTTTAATAAATGAATCTAAGTTATAGAGCAACATCTTCTTAACTATAAAATATAAATATGATATAGATACTTATTAATAGTTTAAAATGATAATGAACTATTGGTAAGAATATCATTAAGTTAATTTTTAATAAAAAAGATGGATCCTTATGAACTGTATTGTTATTATCTAAATAAAATAAATAAATATGTTACTATTTGATAAGACTACTCTATAAAATTTAAGAAACGCTAATGGAATTAATTTTGGAGTATTTTCGAGATTATCTAATTTTAGGATGGTAGTAATTATCCATAGTTTTAGCAATAGGAGTATGAAATATGTGGGGCACAAATTTGTGAGACTGTTCGTCTATTTTAAGTTAAAAGTAATACATTTTATTTAATAGTATCTTATAATAAATGATTAGGAGAATGGAAGTAGTTCTCCATATATTCATCATTATAATCCCAAAATAGATAATCTTTAAATGTATTTGTTATTCGACTTCTACGTGCAAAGATTAGATCATTTATGATTCTAATGTAAGTATAATTCTGTGATGAAGAATACTTCTCATAGAGTGCTTTTTTGATTATGAATGCAAAGTCCTAATTTACATTTTTATGTTACATATTGGTATTCACAAAAATTGCAAGATTAATTCATAATTTCTGTTAATATTAACATTTTCCTTTTGATAAATATATAAGATCATTGATTGCTAAACAAACAATGTTTAATATGAGTACAATTTAATTATAATCAATCATATTTTATTTTGTATGCTAACAACAGTAGTGCTCCTGGAAATATTAAAAATACCATTATCAATGGAAAAAACAATATTCCTATTAAAAGTAAGCATAATCTATCCTCATCTTCCATTTATCTATAATATTGTCTATTCCAATGTTTTACTAATTTCAATGGAGTCATTAAACTATAATATATTAAAATAAATGGAATTATTGGTAGAATCAATATTGTAGCAAATAATTCAAATATTATTCCACAATACTTCTTCCATCTAGAACGAATATAAGGATCATCATTTGAAAATTGTTTATCTATTATAAATAACTTTATATTTAAACCTGGACATCCAAAACAATTATCTGAATCAAAATGCATTCTAGTATATCTTGCTTTGCATAACCAACAAAATTAAAATCGACATTGATAACATGTCATATGATTACATCCCTCTTTTTTTTAAATTGGTGCTTTACATTTTGGACATCGTTGTATCACTAATTATTTTAATGTTTATTCATAATATTTATCTAATGCTTCCTAATTATTATTTGTATCAATACTTCACAACTCATCCCAGGATGATCTTCTCTACGACAATCATAACATATCTCTTAACCACATTCACATCTTACTATCCTACTTAAGAAGCTTTTTCCTTAAATATATTTATCACAACCTGGTTTTACACACCATCTTACTGTATCATCTCTATCTAATAATTTCTATTTCTTGAATTTTTCATATTTTTGATATTACTCATCATTTATTAATTTCTTGATTGCTTCATCATTAAAATAATTATCACATTTTTATTAAGGACATTCAATTTCCAAAACTTAACCATTATTTATTTTATTATCCAAATAATTTTATAAGCATAACTTACAAAATTCATGTCTACAATTCAAAGCTTTCTCTTTATCTTAATATTCACCTAAACATATACCACAATCATTCATTTTATCTTAATCTTTACCTTTACTGTCTATTTCTTATCTTGTTTCTTCCACTATAAATTAATCTATTTATGGTTGTTCATCTATTTAAATAGGAACTATTTAATTATTTGAAATCTTTTTAATCTTCAATCCAAAAGAAGATTTATATTATTCTTCGAACTAATGAATTTTATCAATTACTGAATCCAAAAGAACCTAATAATCTTATTCTAATGAAATATTTTGTTTCTCTATTATATATTCTGCCATATAAGCATTAAAACCATATTAAGCAATCTAAGTTAGAATTTTTTTCTTAGTCTGACTGCAATTTAAAAAATAAATACATACAGCAATTTTACTTTTTTATTTTCATCTTTAAACGTAATTGAATTATGTGAATTCCTTCTATTTTGTTATTCCTTTGGCATCTATATTATACAATCATGTAAAGTGCTTTTTCTTAACTATGATTCCCTTAATTTCAATTGCTTTTCTTAATCTACTCCATGAACAAACAATAGATCATCACTTTTACTGAATGGCAATTGATAGCCCTTACCATGCTTTTTACTCATTAATTATATTATTATCAAATGGACATAACAAAATCAAACTATTCTAAAAATACACATATAAAAATAACTTATTTAATTATTTTTACTATATAGCAATTATAAAAATGTATGATAATAATCTACAATTAATTCATCATCATTAGTTATTCGAAGAATTTTATCAAAAAATGGCAAATATCAAAAAGAAGAATTAATTGAAAAAAGTGAATTAAGAGAATTTCATAAATTTATCTACTTAAATTTACAAAATTATTGTGTGCATAATGGATCTTATTTTCAATTTAATAAAATAATAATTAGATTTAAAATCAGAAAATTAAAATAAGAATTTTTTGAAGAGCATTTAAGCTTAAAAAATTTATGAAATAAATTGATTTTGATTTTCTGTAAAATTGAAAATATAAAGCCAAAACAGTTTATTAATTATTAGTGTAAATTTAGAAATGTAGAGAGATAGGATTTTAAATTTAAAGAAGTGTTTGATATATGTAGCGTGAATATAGATATAGAAATATAAATGCTATATAGAGAATTAAAATAGAAAAAATTAACATTTAAAAGATATTTATTAAGATAAATAAAATAAAAGATTCTTTAGACAAAAAAAAGGTAAATTAATATTTTAATCTATAAAACCAGCCTAAATAAAAATTTGATGGTATAATCAAACGTTTAATGAATGAAGAGTGTTGTAGAAATTTAAATAATAAAGCAATTAAAATTGTAAATTTATGAATATTGAAAGTAAATGTTAAACAAAAAATAGTAATATAATGAATATTAAGTTTAAGTATGAGAATGAGTAATAAATTTAGTAATTTGAATTTATATTGTTAAATATAGTATATAAATAAATAACTATGATGTAAAAATATTTTGAATGTTAGTTAAATGCCTGAATCATAATTAGGATCAGTTAGGATGAGACCTTCGTAAATACAAATAGAAGATGATTAATAAGCATCAACTCAAAGACGAAATTTTTTATCTCCAACATT